TGGATGGGGCTTTGAGCAAGCTGGTCTAGTGGAAGGTGTCCCTGCCTACGGCTGGGGGGTTGGAACTAGATGATCTTTCAGGTTGCTTCCAACCAAACTATTCTATGATTCTAGGATAATGTATGTATTAATTGGACTGGTTCAATAGTCTTAATATGGATATGGGGTATTTAAGTTCTCAGACTATATCTCTGCGTGAACCCCAGAAGTGCTAAATAAGGAAATTTTAAGTGCTGATAATAATATAGGTATTTCTGATAGTTGCCATTTCAAGGAGAATTCCTTTGTTACGAGCAACAGAGGTACATTGCAATTAAAACATTCCTATATCTCTCAAAGTCATCTAAATTAATGCCTATACGTGTGAAAATATCACAGCCATGAAATCCAGTATCTTTAGCCCTTCCAAGGCAAGTAAAGTATGTTACATTCCACTGGAAGGGTGGGAAAGATGACTGTTAGGTAAATATTTTTGTTTCTAGCTCTGTTGTGACTTAAAATGAGATTTAAAAGGATTTCATGAGAATCCAGCAGAGTTGAATCTTCCACAGGCTGATTCTTTTTTTCTTCCTTTTTTTTTTTAATGGTTAGAAAAGGAGTTTCATGATGAAAAGAGGAGAAAGAAATATTTCTCTGGAAAATTAATTTAAAACAGCAAACATGGTGGCCATCTAAAACTGAAGTGGCCCTAAGGAAAACTTGAGTGAGTCTGATGCTGCCTAATTTGGAGCTGATGTGATCACACATCTGTGATTAGTTACATTACTCATGCATACATATATAGATGCAAGCACTGTCAAAGATGTTATATGTGTTTCCAGGTTATGGGAAAAATACCACCTGCATGCACACATTATAGGTATGATCATGCGTGTGGATTGTAAATGGACTATAAAGATTAATCATTCCATTCATGATATGAGAAAGTAGGCAGAATTTTCACAATAATGGGTCTAATGTTTGTTTTGCTTTGTCAGTGCACTTCAGGACTGCAGTGACATTTTTTCCATTGAAATGCTAAATGCAAAATTGTTTTGCCTAATTATCACATTATAAATGCAGAGTATAGAAAATAACATCCTAATATGGTGATTGTTCAAATTGAGGTTATTTGATATAGTTCTGAAACACAGGCAGGCTTTTGGGCTCCAACTTGCCTTATCACTGGCTCTGTATCCATTATCTCAGCTGGTGTAATACAAGATGGTACCTCTACTTAGAAAGTTTACTTCCCTTACATCTTAGAGTGTTATGGGTATAACATTGACAGTGCTTAAGCTAAACCAGCCCAAATAAAGTGTATGAAGCTTTGTGAAATGTCTGTAAGAAAAAGGAATAAAATGTATTAAAAGCAGGGACGTACTTTCAATGAAACATCTGTCCTGCTCTCAGCTGGTTTGTTAGAAATGAATTCCTGTTATTTACATGTACATGGTATTCAGCTTTACTAAAAAATGCTTTCTAAATAGTAGGATGTGTCTTTCCAGCAATGACCTATAGCAGTAGGATAAGGATAAATCATCCAAACCCGCTGCTGTGTAGCAGAAAACTTGGGCTCTAAACAGAAAGCAAGACTTGTGGTAATTAGGTGGGGTCTTTCTTCCAACTCCTTTCAGTGTGGTGCTAAATTCACTCTCTCTCTCTCTCAGGGAGAACCAGGAGAGAAAGGTCCTCCCGGAAAAGAGGTAAGTTAAATTCCCAGTTGTTTCAAAGTAGGGCTAGTGTCTTGGGAAAAAGATATTGATGATGCTACCTGGGTTGTAAAAAAAATCTTTTTCTTGAATTGTTGATATTTGAGAGCTAATAGGGAGCTCTCAGGAATCTGTGGGACCGACAAGGAAATAAATTTTCCCCAGGTCTCAAGAATCATCGCAAAGGCATGTGCTTTATTATTTATTATTATTATGGATAGCTCTTTAACGCTTACTCTTATTTTGTTGCAGGGTGCTCCAGGGAAACCAGGTGAAATTGGCTCCAAAGGAGAGAGGGTAGGTTGGAGAATATTATTAGTTATTTCATTACACTGAAATAAAGAGAGCTATTTTGAGTTAGGGGCCGGGGGAAGGGGTCATTCAAGAGTGAAGTGTGGCCTGTAGAGATCTGCCATGCTTCCCACCCTCCCAACCCTCTCTTTAATCATTCTCCATCAGTAATAATTTGTGGACCATTTGTAATGCACCAGATGTTGTATTCAATAACTTTGCCAGCTCAGCTGTTCGTGTTTCGCTATGCTTGGAAATCATAAGTTTGCCTCTTATTTTGTGCTGGTAATGTCATTTTTTTCACTAAGGGAGAGCCTGGCATCAAAGGTGAAAAAGGCCTTCAAGGAGAAAAGGGCCCTCCAGGTGATCCTGGGATACCTGGTCATAAAGGTCATCCAGGACTGATGGGTCCCCATGGACCTCCAGGAGACAATGGGCAAATTGGACCTCCCGGTCCTCCAGGACAGCCAGGATTTCCAGGACCGAGGGTAAGATTGACAGAGAAGGGCTTTGTACAGTAAGTTTACTACCACAATGTGTGATCAGAAAAGTGCCTAACATTACAGTAAGGGTGAGAGAAACCAGAGCACATGTGTGTTATAATGGGGAGGCATCTTTTTTATCTCGATTCATAAAAAGGAGAGCTATAGCATATCTCAGGGGAATGTTGTGGGGGTGTTGGATTGAACTTCAGGAGAGCTGAGCAATCCAGACCTATAGCCAGGGTGGCCAGTCTCTGCCACCTTATACCCCTAAAAGCCTAAATCAAGTCATGTGACTATGGCCATGGGTCTGGCATCTCAAAAAGCTTCTTTCTATAAGGGTGTTATTGTGTAGCATTTCATACGAGGTCTTACGCCTTCCTCTGCTGCTGGTTGTTATGAGAGACAAGATGCTGAGCCGTGGAAAGGTCACTGCTCTATTCCTGGAAATCCTGGAGTCAGCTCATCAGAATTCATGAAATCCTACTTTTGTTTAATATTCTCTTTTCCTTTTTTTTTTTTTTAATGAGAGACAATCTCGCTGCTGAGAGTGCCTGAGGGTAATGTATGTAGAAGAATGAGAAAAACTACCAACACTAGTGAAGCTGCTATGCCTATCCTGAGGATGAATTTTAGATTACCTTGGAGGGGAATAAACAGTGAAATAATCTCTGATGTAAAAGCTGGGTAAATTTTAGACAAAGTATTTCTTTGCGTGTCTCAACAACATAGAGATTTGATGAAATACAGTAACGATTATGGAGAATTAATGCAACTAATAGAGTTAAAACTTGAAAAGATAATTTGTAAACCTTCAAAGTGTGTTCCACAATCATGTTTACTTACTGGGATATCCACTAAGAGCCATCGCAAATTGTTAACACTTAATGACAAAAATGTATTTTTTGTCACCAGCAAACACATCTTTTTCTCATGCAAAATTTGTGTTGGGAAGAAGGCAGCAAATAGACCAACTTTGTACTTGTCAGCAATGTTATTGGTTAAAATAATTGAGATGTCTTTTAGTTTTTAATAAAATCTACATTTCTTAATGAAGACCAACTTCTGAGTCAGAAGACCTCATGAGGTTTTTATAAAGATAGAGGACACAGACTGCATCCTTGTATGTTAAAGGGATAGGTGTGAGGGAGAAGCAACACTTTCTTGTAAAGAGCTCATACATAAAAGCTTGCAGTTGTTAGGTGGACTAGAAGTATTGTCAAAAGTGGCAGAGGTTCAAAGAATAATTTTGGCCAAAAAATGAAAGGTGTGTTTCAAGTGAAACATCTCACTTTATGATTTGCAAAGGAAAACATTTGATCTTGCTGATTCAAAATGGTTTATTTTTTAAATATAGCTACTTTTTTTTTTTTTTTGAGTTTATGCAAAGACAAGAGTCTAGTTAGCCTAAAACCACTTTCTTTATTTTCTTGGAAAGCCACAACCTCAAAAATTCTCTTTCCACTACCAAAAATGCTTTCATCAGTTTTTCAGTTGCATCATCAGAATTGTTGTTTACATAGCTTTGAGTTTTGACAGCTATTAGAGCTGTTCAACAGCAACATCGCACAAAAGAGCTGAGAGGGGATGAAAGATACTGTCCTTTGAAGGCTGGGTAGGGGACCAACGCCAGGCAGCCACATCTCCTGTCTCCCTTCAACAGCCTGCAACCAGGCAGAACCTTGTACTCGTTTGGAAGAATGGGTATCATATGCGTAAACTGTGTTCTGTTCCCCGAGATAAGGCCTGTTGCCAGGCAATGCGTCCAGTATGAGTGTTTATGGCATGTCTAGATACCCACCTTAACTACCCTGGGGGTACGCATTGCTTCTCTCTGCAAGGAAGTGCGCAATGCTGAAAAAGGAGGTAGGCTTTCCACTGTGATCTAGTAGGGCAGAGGAGATCTCCCGATTTGATTTCTACTACTTCTTCTGTGAGTGTATAGGAGGGAGATTTTTCTCTAGGAAGGAGACAGGGACAGTGTAACAACTATGCCCTCTGACCAGGCTCCCTGCTAACACTGTTGAGCCCATGTCTTGCCAGCAGGTCGGGAATTGTGGATGTTTTAACTCCCTTTACATTCTTCTTTCAGGCAGTCCCTGCAGCCCTGCGTATGCTGTGGGTGATGAAATGCAATCTGCTAAACCCTTTGTGGAGGGTTTAATTTGCACATCCCTTGGCTGTGATTATAATGTCTTGTTATTGCTGTGATTATTACTCTCTAGGGGGAACCCCCATCTCTAGAGACTTTGAGAAGGCTCATCCAAGAGGAGTTAGCCAAGCAACTAGATGGTAAGTAACAGGCTCTAGGAAGCCAGAAGATGTATCTGCGAGTATGAAAGATACTTTCCATAGCTATGGTGCCACTTTAACCTCTCCTGCTTATGGAAGGCAATGTTACAATAAGCCTGCCTGGAAGAAGGAATGTGTAAAATGCAATGTGCTTAGCAAGCTTTACCGTTCTCCAAGCTTGATGTTCCGAGCAATAGCACAGGGGCTTTTTCCCTTCTTTAACCCAAGGCCATTGCCTGTGCTAAGCACCTCATGGTTTTTTTTTTGCTGCAGACTCCTTCCAGCAGATGCCTGGCCTGAGATGCTAGGACAAGAGAAGATATAAATTCAGATTAATTTGGAACCCTGGCAGAGAACGTAATCAGAGCAGGATGTAAACTTGCTTTTAAGGTCCCAGCTAGAGGAGAAATGTTCCTGATTTCTGGCTGTGACATTTGATACTTATCAGTATCAAATCATCTCCTATCAAGACAGGCTGAGAAAGTTGGGATTGTTCAGTCTGGAGAAGAGAAGGCTCTGGGAGCACCTTATAGCATCCTTCCAGTACCTAAAAGGGGCCTACAAGAAAGCTGAGGAGGGACTTTTTACAAGGGCATGGAGTGATAGGACAAGGGGCAATGGCTTTAAACTGGAAGAGGGAAGATGTAGATTAGATACAAGAAAGAAATTCTTCACCGTGAGGGTGGTGAGGCACTGGAACAGGTTGTCCAGAGAAGTTGTGGCTGCCCCATCCCTGAAAGTGTTCAAGGCAAGGTTGGATGGGGCTTTGAGCAAACTGGTCTAGCGGAAGGTGTCCCTGCCCATGGCTGGAACTGGATGATCTTTAAGATCCCTTCCAACCAAACCATTCTATGATTCTACCAGTATGAGAAGAAGGGATGGAGTGTGTGTGGGCTGCTGCTTCTCTCAAAGTACATGAATTGCAGACCACTACTGACCCCATCTACAGTGAAATGCAGAGTGGTTGTACTTCTCACACAGCTCTTGGAGCAGCTGACACATAGCTGCAGGCATTTTCCTCCATGCTAAAGATAATGGTTCAATAGAGTGATTTATTTGAAGGATTCTATTCTGTAGGGTGTTTTTGTGATGCTGAGTATGTCTGAAGAGCTCTCTAGGCTATTCAGGGTCCTAATAGGGAAATGGCAAGCAATGTGCCTGCTTGGAAATTGGAGAATATGCTGACACAGGGAGCTGCCTTAGTTACAGTTTCTGACTTCACAGCCAGAGATGGGTACATTATCTTTAACTCCACATGTGTAACAGCCCAGAATAAGAAAAGTAAGCTTTCTCCGTACAGAGCAGCCATGTAGCATCTTGTTCTGTGTAACAGAAGCAGTGGAAATAGGGTCTTCTTTTCAAAACAGCAATGAGTCCAGTTTGACAGAGATCCACCAGCTGCACAGCTACAGGAAGGGACATTTCAGATCCTTGGTGGACAAAAAGCAGAGGATGAGAGAAGTGTTTAGGATTAAGTATGAAATTTCGAAGAAGTTTAAAGCTACTGAGAAATGAGGTTTAAATAATTTAGAGAGGGTCAGGGAGGCACCATCACGGCTTATGGGGAAGGATTGTGTGGGCATAACAAATGGGTAGCCCTGAAAAATTGATCTGTGACAGTACTTGTACTTTACTGGGATACCAGTTCTCGCTCTTCATCACTTGGAGCACTGACCTTCTAGTCTAACAAACCCATTTCCCTTTCTTCACAGCAAAGTTAGCTTATCTCTTGGCTCAGATCCAGCCTTCACATGTAAAAGCATCCCATGGCAGACCAGGACCACCTGGTCCTCCCGGGAAGGAAGGGCTCCCAGGAAGAACTGGCCCTCCAGGAGAGCCTGGCCAGCCTGGCCAGCCTGGGTCTGAAGGACCGCCTGGACCAATTGGTCCCAAAGGTGAGTGAAACTTGGTTTGTTTGAGTGGTCCTGTAAAGGGATGTATTGACCAAACTTTGGTGTCCACCTCTCCTGTTAGTAGCATCTAAGTGGTCCTCAAAATGCATGTGTTAGAAGCAGTCTCAGTCTGTTGAACCAGAGATGGGAAATGTGACCAGAAATTGCTGGTGTGTTTCACCTCTGGCCAGAATTGGAGTGGGGCAAGTCTTCATTCCCACTTAATGTCTCATGCCAGAGGATTGGCCACAATTAGGAACTATTTTTAGCAAACACACTGACTTCAGTGTGAATGGAAGACCTATGGTAGTATTCTTTAGTTCCGTAGATCATGCTTATTAGTTCGTTATTTTTCTTTCCCTCTCTACAGGAGAAAGAGGAGCAAAGGGTGAGAAAGGTGACACTGGTGTTGGCCAACGAGGGGAAATAGGTCCTCCAGGAATTCCAGGTGTGTTTATTCGGAACACCCCACAAAATGCATCACTCGGAACTGCTACAAGGACACAGGTCTCTGCCATATTAGATAGATGATGAGGATAACATAAATATAGTATACACAATTTTCTGTAGAAAGTGGACCAAAGGGAAGAAATATATCACTAGCATCATATCTGGCCACCTTTGTTTCCTCAGCCTTATTGACAGATATAATGATCCATCTCAGTAACAGCTAGGGATAAATCCAATCTGAAGCTTTAATTACTAGATACACTATGAAGTGTCTTATCTGCTGTTGCCAGAATCTTGTTCTGACCAAGATGAACCCAGAAATTCAGGAAGCTTCAGATGTTATAAAATGTCATATAGCCTTCATAACTCCATGGTCTGCATTTGGCATACTGGCCCTCCATTACCTTAAAATAACAATGGACTCACCATGCTTCTTACGAATGAGTTATCTCGCAAAGCTGGCTCTTGCCTCAAGCTTTCCCATCCTCACCTCTGCTCTATGACTGTTGACTCATGCAGCTGCACAACTTCAACGTGGTGATGGAGGAAGAGCAGCCATAGCAGAGTTGTGCAGCCCAAGGATGTCATAAGGAGTGGAAATCTTTCTTTCAGAGGAGACATACTTGTCACCTTCTTGTATATACATTCTAGCCAGACCTAAATTTGTAGAAGCTGATGTCTGCATCCCAGTTCGGCAGCAAAGCCATCTCCTGTGATGTTACACTGCTGAGTACTGCACCCTGGGGGCGTCACTCACCAACGGCATTTTGTTTTTATTTTAGGCCTCCCAGGGGAGCCTGGCTATGCTAAAGATGGGATGCCAGGACCGCCCGGCCCTCAAGGTGAAGCTGGTGTGCCTGGTCTCACAGGTCCACAGGGACCTCCGGGAGCCAGTGGACAGTGCGACCCCACTCAGTGCGCTTACTATGCAAGCCTGGCTGTGAGACCTGCCAACGTCAAAGGGCCCTAGCATGCAGGGAGTATCCCCAGACTTGTTTTTAAAACTTGAATTCATCATGCCTTCCGAAAGCTCTCAGATATCTTCAACTGTGTTTCTTTCATGGGAGGCCTTCTAAAGTCAACAAATGCTGCCGGTCGGTCAGATTATTTTTATGAATTATAATTATTATTGTTATTATCTTTGATGTGATATGTGAATTTGTTTTTGTTTTCTCTAACATCAGGGCATATTAAAACATTAAAAATAAGTGGGTTTTTTCCTCTTTTGAAGAACGTATAATATCAATGCATTGTGTAGCTGTTTATGCAAAACCATTCCAATGCCAAAATTTTTGTCTGTTATCTGGTTAATTCTTTCCAAAGCTTTACCCATGTCCCTTGAAACTGCAGTCAAACCCTGCAGCCCAGGGCATTAACTGTGAGACACAGACTGATGACAGGACTGTTGGTGCTATCTGCCATCCATATGGAGAGGAGAAAGGTAAAGCCGTACCAAAGCTGGAAAAGAGGTCTCCAGTACATTCAACAACAGTTATGAACAGTCAGTGTGTGTTTTCCAGAAGATCACTGTTAAATTTGATGTTCTTCTGCCCATAAGTGAATCTGTATCCTATAGGAGCTACTTTTTATGGGACCATGTGAGATCTCACAGCAAGGCCTGAAGAGACCACAGAGGTGATCTAAACCTCCTCACTGCTCACTGTGCAAAAACTTCAGTACTCAGAGGGTTTGGTTCTACCAGATGGAGCTTACCTTCCTTCTGTCAGGGAGATGCCAAATCCTCTGTTCATTGTCAGCGAACACACAGCTCTCTACCACTGCTTCACCAAAAATCAAACAGAGTAGCATAGAAAGTCCTCTGGTACCAAAAATCTCAGGAAGTCAGGTGTGACCCAACCTCACTGTTTTGCGTGATCCACTATAACAATAATAACTTGGCACAGTCATGTTTTGGAGGGTAGGTGAGAAGTTACAGGCTGGTCTAGGAGGAATTTGATCTGTGATGAAAGGGTCAGAGCAAAGAGGTGTTCAGAAACCTGGAAGAAATTGTGTTTGAAGGTGAAAGCAAAAAGTCAGACACTGACCTTTTTCCCCTATCAGCTAATTGCCAAAATCAACCTGAAAATGCAAAGAGAAAGAAAATATTAGATGGAGTCGGAAAAGACCTTCACAGTAGGTAATTTGGTAGTTTAACTCTTTGACCAAGACATGTCCACTCACAAAGACGGGGATCTGAGAGGTGATCAGGCCTCAGATGTATACGCCAGCCAGCAAAGCAGCTGCATTTTCAAAGTCTTCTGCACAAAGCAATTTGTAGTGAGAGATCAGAGTAATGAACTTGACACAGGCACTAAATGCTGAATGTGTTTGGAAATCTCATCAGGTCTTTTGGAAATGGAAAACAGACACCCTGCCCTGTTGGCATGTTCACCATATGGCATGGTGCTTCCAAGCTGGCTAAGCCAAGCAAAAGCCACAGCTGTCTATAACTACTCCAGAATCAGACCCCGAGGCTAAAGCCTAGAGATAGCCATTTGCCAACCTTGGAGTCTTTTTCTCACCCAGCAGCAGATAAAATTTGTTTCTGCTTTACTGAAAAATGAAATTAAATAAGATGTTCACATGCCAGGGTTAAACAAAGTCTTTACTGTGTAGCTCTCAGTGGTGCTATTTGTGCTATTTCTTATGCAAATAAAATCTTTGATTTTATTTTACTGTGTTTCTTGCTATGGAAAGACCAATCAAAGTGAAAATGTCATGAAATGAAAAACTTACCGCTTTTAAGTAACTCTCGATGGTATATCCATGACTGTACTGCATATTAGGTCAGCTTGCTATATTTCAGTATTAAGTAAGCATGTTGATCACATTGTATTGAACAGCACCATTTTTCCTAGTCCAGATTGAGTGAGATTTCATCCCTCCAACGATGAGACAGAACAGGATTCCTACTCAAGAAGTACTTCCTAACATGGCATGAGACATTGTTTTGAATAAATGTGATGACAACGAGCAGCTTTTATGGAGGTCAAACATGTTAACTAGGTCATATTAATGTGACATTTAATTCCTGTCATGACGGTGACTCCTCAGCCTCTGTAGATTGTGTCTCATGTGTGTCTGCATGTGCCATGGATGGCATAGACTTCAATACATTCCAGTGCACCATAAAAAGGATAGATACACAATGATGTTCTGTTAAACAAATTTCAGAGTCTTTCATCCCTGTGAGATCACAGAATCATAGAATAGTTTGGGTGAGAAGGGATCTTTGCATGTCGTCTGGTCCAATCCCCAATGGGTGAGATGGTGCAGTGTTATCTAGTTGAAGGAGATCTAGGGATGTTTTGGATAACCCTTTTCATCTGAATGTCGGTTGGAGCCATTGGAAAGAGCCTGTGTTAGAAACATGAGGGAAACACCTGTGTCTTTAATAGCAATTAAAAGACCTGCATGGGTTAGGCACAGACTACAGTTCTGCAACTTCTCCACTCGGAAAAGGGGACACAACCTAATTCCTTTTGCTCCAGCATGTTCCCTAGCATATGTTTGTCTGTTCAGTCTGTTCCTGGAGACACCCCAGACTGTCTCTGTGGCCTGAATTCAGTGGGTGCCATTTCCCTGCTTTTTCTTAAATCTTGTTTTCTCTCCAGCCAGTTAAATGGCATTTACCAAGCATAATCTGTCACTAGTGAGAGGAGTACAAGACACATGCTGCAGACCCAGATCAAGACCTGTGTTTATAGCCACCCAATTTCTCTGGGTATAGCCATCAAAGGGAGATTTCTATAGCTGCCACCTCTTACAGAAGCAAGACCTACATGAATGTGCCTAAAAAGTCACCTGCAATAAAAGGTAAGAAAGGAGGGTGTATTTGCAGGATTTCAAAAACTGCAACAGTTTTTGCCTCAGTCTGTTCATGTGTATTTGCAGTCTTTGGAAAGGTGGCCCACGGTTCCTTTCTAAATTAGGTCTGCCATCTGGGCAGCCAGTAAACCTACAAGTACAGCCCTGGGCATGGTCAGAAGCTGCCCTCCAGAAAATGCAGATGCCTCTATGCCTGAGCAGGTGATGGTGTGTGCTGGAAGGTGACAAGCAGACCTGTATTGCCTGTCCAGCACCTTGCAAGGTGACCACGCAGGCAGGGGGTGGCAGGTAAGGCAGAGACAGTGCTGATGGCCTCTCCCCTAACCATTCTTGAATAAGAGAAGGCCGGGGCTTTTGCATCTCTGTGTTCCTGTCTCTGCAACAAAGCAGTTGGTACATCACCATAAAGTCTGTTCACTGAGTTTGAGGTTTAAACCCAGGAATACACTGATGTTTTGGTTGGATTTTGTTTTGGCTGGTCCTGTGGTAAGAGAGGATGTACTGTTAAAATTGCATTAGAGAGCCAGACAATGTATTATTTACATATTTAAAAGGTGCTAATGACACACGGTTTTTATGGCATCAGTGTGGGTTGTTCTTTTTTTTTTTTAACACAAGTGTGTAAATTATTGCAATTGTAGCAAACAGACCATTATTCCATTAACATTTTTGCCTGTCAAATAAATAAATGAAAAAAACAAACCAAAACAACAGGATCATTTGGGGAAAATATTTTTGTGTGTTAAATTGTTTAACAATTTATACTTGTTTTCTAAACAGTTTTGTATTAGCTGCTTCTTGGAAGGTGTAGCAGGGAATGGATTATTTTCCATCTTTGCCACTTGTGTGTGGCTCTTCTCAGAACAGCCTTGTGATGCTGTTTTCCTGAGCTGTCCTTTTCCCACCCCTTGTTGTTAATATGGGATAATTAAACGGTGTAAGGCTGAAGTCTGTTCTACATGTTTATTTGGAGATGTGTAATCAAAGCAAGACTACTCTGTTCAGGACTAAACCAAATGTCTGTGTTTTTTTCAAGACGGACAATAAAAAGGGTGTAGCAGCTAATCCCAAGATCTGTGCTCTGAACATAAAACTGTCTGGGAGATGAGCACAGCTTTTACATTCTGGACAATTTAAAAAAATAATTAAAATTATTAAAAAAAAAAATAGAGTTTACTGATGGCTCAATCTTTTAATGTAGAAACTGGGCAAGCTCTGCCCATTGCATTGCATTTTGGCAGCTTCTGGAGCAGGACTTGTTGCCTAGG